TCCCCGGTCCTGCTTCCCGCAATAAATCCCCGTTCTACCCTGCTTCCTGGCTCCTGCTCGCTCGCTCCGAGACATAACATTTACAATATATATTAAAATAAAGATGAGTGTAATGGCAAAACAAATATATAAGAAATAATTTATTTGCCATGAATTAAGTTTATGATATTTGAAGAAATGTGTGATCATGCCCCAGTCAGTGAAAGTGTGTTTCCTACCCCTAGACCCCAGAGGGTTAAACTAATGTTAAACGTATACTAGATAATTCTGAAAAGAAGCAGTAATTCAAACTGCACAAATTGCTAAGTTTTGTTTCCATTAACAATATAAATGTTCTAGCTAAACATAAACCCCATGCTCTCAGCTAATTTTATAAAAAGAATTATAAACTATACTGAAAATAATATTGCTTATGAAAACAGACAAGTCAGAATTTCAAGTTAGAGTTTCATTGTACTTTGTTTCTAAAAAAGCAGTATCATGTGAACAAACTGCCATTAAATTTTGACGACGCTGTACACAGAGGGACACAATAGTGCTCGCAATATTTTCTCTCTTGCATCTGCAAATATAGAGTTCTTCCAGCCATTCATTCTTAACAAAATCAGATGTTACTTTAATACTAACTACCATACATAAACAAATAGTCCCATGACAAAGGGTCACCGTAATGCCACTCCAATTTTTGGTGGTACCGCATCTCGGCCTTGATGAGTACGCGTATGCCTTGTAAGGGTCAAGTGTAAAATCTGCCCTCAAAAATATTATCATTTACAATATTTGATTTATTTTAAGAGAATTAACTTAAAATGAAGGTCTTTCCAGTTAAGAGCACTTTAAATGGTCGTCAGGTTTCTGTTTTTAGAGCCACTTTGCAAATTGGTATGAGATTTAGATTTTAGTTTTTTTTGTTAATAAACATTCACCTTCTGTTTTAAGAGGAGTGTGGAGGCTTTATTAAACCCCCATTAACACAGATATAAGCTTAGGCATAGTTTACTTTTGACTTTATTTTGAGATGATTTTGCAATAATGAAAATATCTATACTGTATACATCAGGTATTTCTATTCTGCCTAAAAGTATCAAGATTGGGGTTTTGCTTCATATAGCCCAGCCCAATTTCACCATTATACATAGGTTACTTTAGCAAGATATGCACACTTCTCTTAATGAAACAGTGGGGTACCTCAGACCTAAGGCAAACAAATTCATTAGTGGAAAAAAATCACTTAGTAAGTCTTGGTAATTAACATAAACCATATGAGTGTCAGATGAAATTTATTGCATTAATTTTTTAATACTGCAGCATGTTAACACTGTAACTCTAGACCGGGGACTGAGTCCCAGCCTTGTTTTTAGTCGACAAGCTAGTCGACTCATTTTATTTATTTATTTCTACTTGATTCATGCCTACCCAGTCTTCTATGGCACCCACTTATGGTCGTGCCGGACGCCCCAGCCGATAATACGGCGCTCGCACGGTCGAAGAACATTGCCTGGCAGAGGACAGGGGAAACGCCATCAACGCAACTATTAAAGTCCTCCTCTCGTTGTAGAATGTTAAAGGATGCTGTGCTCCGTCACTCCAGTGGATATTCTCACTCTGCACCAGCTGTGACTACTCTTCCTGTCTCAGATGCAGCCATTTTCCCTCGCATTAGGAGAAATGTGTCTCCACAGCAACCTAATGCTAATGCATCATCATCTGCTCACCAATTTTCCCCAACAACAATAATAGTAGGTGACTCAATAGTAAGGCGCATTAGGAGAAAATCTGCTGTGACGTACTGTTTCCCGGGTGCACAGGTCAATATCCTCAAACAGATTCCCCGTCTCCTGGATAGACACACCTCTGCTAGTACTGTAATTATACATGTCAGTGGTAATGATGTCACTAACCGGACCTCTGAGATTCTTGAAGGGGACTTCTCCGAGCTCCTGCGCATGCTTCAAGACTGTGGTAAGCGCATTTTTATTTCTGGGCCTATTCCACTGCTTGGCCGGGGCGACGGCCGTTTTAGCCACATCCTGAATCTTAATACATGGCTTAACTCTGCCTGTGCTGCTTATAATGCTGTTTTTATTAACAATTTTAATTTGTTTTGGAATCGTCCCTCCTTTTATTTTAAAGATGGTGTCCATCCTAGTAGGCTGGGTGGACGTATCTTAAGGAATAACATATTCTACAACGTTCTCAATGTGCAGGCAACATGACTGGCTACAACTGCTCATTCTAATAGAATAGTTAGTGTGCCCCATGAGCAGGAACTTGTAGGACATCAGCAGACATCTGATCTTTTTTTATATTCCCTCTGCACCTCTTCCAATGATCAAATTGCGGACAGAACCTCTGACAACATGATGGATAGACATCACAAATATTATAGAATATTTTCCCATCACGGTTCAATCAGGAACTCTTACCAGGATAATGCTAACCCTATTCCATCCTTTCATAAGCGTCCTCACAGAAACTCATAAGCGTCCTCACAGAAAATGCAAAAGACGTCCTATTGATCACTCTGTGCTTGCCAGTTTGACCATGGATCTCAGGATGGCATCTGCTTTGGATTGCTAAATGTTTGTTCATTAACTAACAAGGGTTCATTGATATGTGATTGAGTAACAGATCTTGGTTTTGACTTTCTATGTCTGACTGAAGCATTTTGCTGAACTGAACCGCACCTCACCTTCGGGGTTTGTCTATGCCTGTCAAGCTCGTACTTCAGGTCGTGGTGGTGGTCTTGCTACTCTCTATAATAAGAAATATAAGGTCAACTCGCTTCCTAACATTGTATACCAGTCTTTTGAATCAATGTCTCTGAATGTTAATGGATGTATACCTACTGTCATAGCTGCTGTTTACCGCCCACCAAAACCAAATCCGCTTTTCCTGAGTGTATTCTCAGACTATGTTGCCTCTCTATGCTATTTGTCAGCCAACATAATCCTACTTGGGGATTTTAATATCCATGTGGACACTGAAAATAACTCACTCGCAAAGGATTTTTTGTCATGCTTGGACAGTTTTGGACTTCAGCAGTATATAGATTTTCCTACACATTCTAAGGGACATACATTGGATCTTGTCTGCTGTTCAGGTTAGGACTGGACGATATGGCAAAAAATTATATAGATTTCGTTGACTGACAAGGTGGAAATAATTCAGAATTATCGTAAAGGGGTTTCGCAAACAAAACTAAACGAGGATAATGGATTGGCGAGGAGTACAATCTCCACAATCATACATAACGCAAACAAGATCATGGCCGAGTACGAAGGCAGCCGACTTACAGTAAGGCGATTTGAACGATAAGCCGGCAGTGGATTTTGCGTTATGTCGGTTGTCTGATATTAACCTAGTTTGAAGAATATAGTTCCTATTCAGAATAATGGTTTCAATATGGTTAATTTTTAAAATAACTTCATAAGAATAAGCACAGAGTATAAGATGCCATTTGAGGTCATTATAGATATCATTTGTACAGTTTCAGAATATTTTTAGTAAACAGATAAGGCAATTCATGTTCATCCATTAAAAGCTATATTCTCTGAATAAGACCTTTGAATTCAACAACTCAGGTTCAATTTATTTAACCATTGTTAAACCCAAACTTTTCCTGCCAGACCCCCCCTTTTCATGCCCTTCCCAATACCCCCGACACACAGACACACACAGATCTCCCTATATCCTCTGTACAGATTGCTGAAGTAAACATCTGTAAAGCGGCTACGGCAAGGCATTAGGTTGGAACAGGAAGTCTTTAAGGATACAAATTTAACTATCAAGCTAGTAATAAGAAACATTGCACTAATTCTAAAATGGTTGCTTCCCATTAATTTACATTAATGATATTGACACCAATACATATAGTAAACTGGTTAAATTTGCAGACGACACCAAGGTGGGTGGTGTAGCAGATACTATTCTAGCAGCAGAGAGGCTACAACAGGATCTGGATTTAATTAGCGACTAGGCTGATACTTGGCAGATGAAATTTAACACAGATAAATGTAAGGTAATCCATGCAGGGAGCAGAAATATAAAGTACAGATATTTTATGGGTTCCACTGAAATAAAGGTAGCTGATTACGAGAAAGATCTCAGTGTGTATGTTGATGCTTCCAATTCCCACTCTCACCAGTGTGGGGAAGCAATAAAAAAGGCCAATAGAATGTTGGGTTATATCTCTAGGTGTGTGGAGTTTAAGTCAAGGGAGGTGATGTTACATTTATATAATTCCTTGGTAAGACCCCACCTAGAATATTGTGTGCAGGTTTCACCATACCTTAAAAAGGACATTGCTGCCTTAGAAAAGGTGCAACGGAGGGCTACGAGAATGATTCCTGGTCTTAGAGGAATGTCTTATGAGGAGAGATTAGCTAAGCTGAATCTGTTTAGCCTTGAGCAAAGGGGGGACATGATCCAGGTCTAAAAGATTCTAACGGGTCTGGATGCTGTTTAGCCAAATGGCTATTTCAATATTAGTTTAAATACTAGAACTCGTGGCCATAAGTGGAAATTAGCTGGAGAACATTTTAAAACAAATTTGAGGAAGCACTTCTTTACACAGCGTGTAGTTATAGTATGGAATAGTCTTCCTGCTACTGTAGCGGAAGCTAAGACCCTGGGTTCCTTTAAATCAGAGCTATATAAGATTTTAACAACTCTGAGCTATTAGTTAAGTTCTCCCCAAACCAGCTTGATGGGCCGAATGGCCCCCTCTCGTTTGTAAATTTTATGTTCTTAGGGTTTGCACTGAGGCTTGTTTTCTTTCGCTTCAAATGTGAGACTTAGCACGTTTTTCCCTGTCTAAAACCCACTGTGGCGCAGAAATGATGGTAAAATAGTTTACAGAAAGACCTCAAAGGCAAAACTGCATGGTTTCAACTTGTCAGATTGATACATGGTTTACATGCTAGAAACCAGTTAGAGCAACATTAACCAAATGATGTGCAACTACTTCTGGTTGGTTCAATTTAAAATTTGTTTCCTGATATATTCATCTAATTTTTATTCAATGATTAAAGCATCAGTACATTTAGTAATTTTTGACTCATATTATTTTGTATTTTATTATTGTCTTGTTTTTGTCAATGAAAAAATTGTCACTGACTAATAATTTTCTTTAAATTAACACTGGTTCAACCTTCGGGACGCACCCCTCATGCTATATTTGTGTCCGCAGTATAACCCAATTCCAATATTCTGCTTTGCAACTTCAAGAATAATACTATTTTTTGTCATGCTAATATTCCTTTATTGTATCTTTTTAATATAGAACAAAAGAAAACATTTTAACATACCATTTCTTGTGTGCCAAACGCTGAAGCCCAGTTTAAGAGAGTCTGTCCTACATCATCCATGAAATTCACTTCAAAAGCTAAAAGAAAAAAAATGGAGAAATCAACAGAAAAACTATACTCTCAAAAGAATTTTAAAAATTCACTTGCAAAAACTACAAAAACTGCACACAAACAACATACAGTAAAATCTGAGAATGTCCTCAAAATCCCCTTTTCATAAATCCACAAAGCTCCCAGGAAGTGAGCAAGTACCTCCAGTGTCGATGGCGTCAATAAGCGCGTCGGTGTCCTTGCTGCGGATACAGTCAATGAGCTGTCGGTGTGAGCGTTCCCCTGAGCTGTCGAGCCTGCGGAGGCCAGGAATGCGGCCCGTGGAGCCAGCGGTGGACTTTGGCAGAGCCTTACGGCCCTCGAACAGCAGCACAAGAAGCAGGTCCACGAGCCGCATGGTGTCCAGCACACAGCGCTCATCGCCCTGCAGTGCACTCTCCATGGAGTCGGGCAACTCGGAGCGCAGCAGGTCCTGAACACAGACAATAGTGAATAGCACAGTGACTTAAATCAACAGCACTAAGTTCATTCAGGCCCATTAGCAGCTCATTCTCTGTCTCTGATTGTTCTTTTTTCCACCCTCCCACCCACAGCCAGCAGGCACTACTAACTGCACATATCATCGCTATCCGATGAAAACCACATATATCCAAAATTCCATTATTTCAGGAGCGTGAAATACGTCAGAAACTACGTCACAAAATAAACCCAAAATAAAGTGATGAGAGACCTTTAGAATTACAAATAGAAACATTCTTAGACAGTCATCAGAGAATGGTTTAATGTTTTAAATACACTTGTGTGGATTGTTGCCAGATATGTCGAAGTCAACAAGATAAAAACTAATCCTACTTCATATTCACAATTAATAATAATGTTAATTAACATTGATAGCCAGATTGCTTGTTAAGTTGATCAAATTAACAATATAAAGTAATTCATACAAATGAACATCATGATCAAAATGTTAATTACTACAACAAGAGCTGGGCGGTATGACCAAAAAATTTTATCACAGTATTTTTAAAAGTTATATCGGTTTCCCGATATACAACGGTATTTTATTTTTTTTTTTTTTTTAAAGTATGACTGGGCGTTTACCACATTTTACAGGACACTTTTTTTTTTTTTGTTTACGTTTTTGCATTGTTCCCACATTATATTATTTTATTAGCCATTGCGCCTATCCGCTACCATGATAGCATACTGCTAACCTGTTTGTTGTCTAACCGCATATAGATAAACGGCTAATGTTAAGGTGTGCGCCGGCCAAGGTAACATTTTTAATAAGTGTTTATTAGTTCAGTGCTACTGGAACGCGAGCTTTACTAACCTCGCGCAATTTCTCATAAAGACCGGGATGACGGTCTTTGAAATGCTTCGCCAAGTTTGACGTGCTACTTGACTTTGTAACCACAACTTTGTAGTACTGTTTGCATAGAGCAGAGGTCACTAACAGGTGGACCACGGTCTGGGTTAGGACCCAGAAGCTGTACCATATGGACCTGGACCGATAGCCAAAACAGAAAGTTATGATTTAAACCTTACAGGGCACTTCTATTTTACCGGCGCAGCTTTTGTCATCTTTTCGGTAGTGGTTTAGCACTATAACTGCCATTTCCCACGCCAATGAACATCAAACGCCTTTAACCGCCAAGCAAGACGTAGTTCAGTGTATGTAGCCCTTTGTTTGCTAATATGCCATAAGTGTTAATAGCAGCAGTGAAGCTAACACCCGCAACCAAAAAGCCATAATGTTCCTAACAGAGAGACTGCTCTGTCCTGAAATCCTACAGCTGAAAAGTCTTCAAAACCACAGTATGTATTATATAACATGTTGGATAAATAGATGTAGTTTATTGGTGATTTCATGTTCGTTGAAGTTTGCAATTTTTAGCTACTGTATAAAGTAATGTTAATATAAATCAACTCAGGTAAAACAAAAAAAATGTCCATTTTCAGGGTTGCCAAATCTCAAGCATCTGGCATGACACGCTGTCAGACTCACGCAGAAAATATTACAGCAAATCTATATAATTCCATTACAAAACCAAAATTAGCTACGTCAAAAGTGTATTTATACGGTTAAATACAAAAGTAGACTATTTAGAAGGTAAGAATTGTTATATATGTGTGCAGACATCTCGAATTAAAAATCTCACTCCAGCCAGCTGGCGGAAGTTGGCAACCCCGCGTTTATCTGAAATGAAAAGTAAAATGCACTGTTTATACATATCGGCATTCATATATATATGTTTAGTTCTATGTCACGTGACAATAAATACTGTCAAAAAGTTTTTGAATTATATTGAATTAATTTGATTTGACAGTCAGGTATTGCTTACATGCAATGTTGATACAACTAATAGGCTACTTAAATATATATCACACTAAATAGTCAGACATGATATTCCGGACCTTTGCGTCAAGAAATTTTCTCTAACTGGACCTCTTTAAATTTTACTTGAATACCCCTGGCATAGAGGCTTATCGACATCCTTAGACTTTTCATGCTTGTCTGCAAAAAACTTCCAAACAGCACTTTTGCATCTTGTTTTTTTTTTTTACTAAAGCAGCTTGCAAAGTGCCTTCAACTGCAGCATATGCCATGTTTGGCCAACTCGTTATGTGTGTGCTAACCAGCACGAATGCATTCAGCGGCTATTGAGAGGAGGGGAGGGGCTGCTCAAGTGTGTGCGTGCGTGTGCATGCGTGCACACGCGCCTGCGCTGTAGTGGTGCTGTGTGAAGTGTGCCAAGTATGGCAACTTCATAAAACATTGATTCATTGGAATGTCAAACAGTAGAGAGAAGAATGGACAAATACATCTATGGTAAGGAGTCAGAATCACCAAAAAGAGGACATGGTTTTCACTGGACAGCGACAATGTGGTGCAGATTAGAGGTCGACCGATATATCGGCCGGCCGATATATCGGGCCGATATTTATCATTTTTTAATGTATCGGCATCGGCCGATATCCGAGTTCACTACGCCGATTTTCAGACAGGCACGTCTGCGGGCAGCCCAGTGTTATTGTTGCTGTGGAACACGTGACCCATGC